CCACATTCAGGATCGAGGAGAACAGAACATACTTAATGAAAATGCAGCACTACAAGAGGTGCCCTGGAAGGTCGGGAACTGAGGAGTCTTGGATTCCAAGAAGGGCATCATTGACAGCGCCCTGGAATCCAAGGCAAGAAGGGAGAGAAAGAAAGCATAGAGAGGTGTGATGGGCCGAGTGGAAGGTTCAGGAAAGGATGCATGTGAGGCAGAGAAGAGTTGAAATGACAGTCACAGAAGGTAAAAATGTGGATGCTTAGTAGGTAGACTGAGTTATTAGAAATAAGTGGTAAGCATAAAAGTAATAAAAATCAGCACAGAATACTTAAGCTTCGTACATTGAGCTCTTGTTAAAAGCACATTGTTGTTGAGTGCCGTCAAGTTGGTTCCAACCCATAGTGACCCTGTATAGAGCTTGAACCCCAACCTTGCAGTTCAAACGACTTTGAAGTCTGGTGCATTAACCCACTGCACCACACCAGGACTCCTGTTAAAAAGCATAGACTGAGATATTCAGGGCTTGGGTTGAGCTGAAATTTGCCTTTGTTATATTGGTGGAGAACCAGTGTGTTTAGAAACTTAACAGTAAGACAGCAAGGCAGGGAGCGTGTTCAAAGGGAACAAACTGTGGCCAATCACCCTTAAGCACTTAAATGTAACCATTTACATCTAAACAATAGTTAGCTTAATCGCGATCATTTGGAGCTACCCACTGGAGATCTGATCAAAGATTCTCATTAGGTAATATTTAGCTGTCTTGGTTCATGATTCTCACCTCACATCAGAGTAATAAAACGGAGCTTCATTTACATTATTTCATAATTTAGATATTTTATTAATTCAGATGGGTTTCCCTCCCAGTTAGTTAAAATTTAGTTTCTCTTCATTAAGAAGCAGAGATTCAGGAAATATTGCTAGTGAATTCATGGGCCAAATTAAGGGATTTTGTGTGAGGAATTTCCTCTTTGTTTTCTGTTTGAGCAGTTTTATATTTGGATTGCCCATTCACTTTCTGATGAAACAGTTTTCATCTTTCTTGAGAACATCTGGAAACTATATAATTCCATAATGTTGGGAGCGAGGATTTCAGGAGGCCAGCTGATTAAGACCTTGAATGGACAATAAATTGGAAACTAGACAGAAAGCCAGAGTCTGAGCTGAGAAATTTGAACCTAGGATGACAAAGGGATAGTCACAGGATGCCCAGGATCGAAGTACAGGATTGAGGGAGAAGAATGAAAATTTATCGCAGATTTCGCTACTGACATTCAAGCAGTATACCATGCTTAGGATTGCAGAGCAGGTTAGAGTGGTGGCAAGTAGAAGCAAAAATTTGGAGGTGGAAAAGAGGAAAATGTTCTCACTCAGTCTATGAATGAGGGATAGTAAGAACTAAATGTTAAGTGCCGTCGAGTGGATTCCGACCCATAGCAATCCAGTATAAGGTTTCCAAGGAGCAGCTGGTGAGCTTGAACCACCAACCTTGCAGTTCAAACGACTTTGCAGTCTAACACATTAGCCCACCATGCCACACCAGGACTCCAAGAACTAAATAAGGATATCTTTTCTCAGGCCAAACAGGCTTTGGGGATCAGCAGAATAGAACTAGAGTGCTAAGCAGGAAACCAAGTTCGAGATTCAGTGTGCGACTGACTAAAGCAACAACACAGTGATTGATTACAGGTTAATGAGGGCTAATCCAGGTACTGGATTCTGGTCTATGGCCCATATCCCATAGCCTACCCATTGAAATATATCACTTACCTTCATTGTGGTTGAGTGAACCATAGGATAATGATAAGCTTGCAGAGAAGGGTTTCTGTTATTGCAGCGGATAGAGGTCAAGCAAGGCAGGGTTGACTGAAATTGTGGTTAATAAGACCCTTTACCTGTATCACTGAGAAGCTATGCTTTCTGCTACCCCATTCTAACTTAATGTAAGCATAGACAGAAACAGCCAGCACACTGCATGTATGGAGTAAATGTTTATTGAGTATGCTAGTGTGCCAAGCATGGTGCTGCACACTGCATCAGACATTTCTTTCACTCATGGAGCTTCATAACTGTTCATACATGTTTAAATAACAGTTTCAAAGAGAGTTGGATTAAGTAGCATGAAGAGAAATACAGCCCACTGGAACTCCAAGGCAGGATGAGTCAAGAGAGGGCTTCACGGAGGAAGTAGCCCCAGCTGAACTTTGAAGAATGAGTAGAGTTTAGATCAATGCAGGTGAAGATGAAAGGGAATTCTGGATGCAAAGTTCCACCATGAATTGTGAGAAATAAATTAGACACTTACCAGATGCCACTAGGCAAGATTACTATATCTAGAATGGACCTAGTCAATGAAATATATGGTTACTTCTGTTGCTATTCTTCCTGCTATTAATATTTTAGTGCTTTCACTGCTAGAACCATTTTTAAATGCCAGTTTTACTGCTTTTAATAAGGTGGTGTTGTTATTAAGGGCTGTCGAGTTGGTTCTGACTCATAGTGACCTTGTATAGGGTTTCCTGGGCTTTGAATTGTCGAGGGAATAGAAGATCTCACCTTAATCCTATGGAGTGCCTGGCAGGCTCGAACTGCAGGCCTTGTGGTTCCAAGTCCAGTGCTTATCCTATGGAGTCACTGCACTCCTTTTAGTAAGGTTGTTGTTGTTATGTGCCGTGGAGTCGGTTCCGACTCATAGCGACTCTGTACAGGCTTTCCGAGGCTGTAAATCTTTACGGGTGGCAGAAAGCCTCATCTTTCTCCCATGGAACAGGTAGTAGTTTTGAACTGCTGACCGTGAGATTAGCAGCCCGATTTGTAACCACATAATGGGATTAAATAGATAGGTTTGGAAGACAGTGAGAAGTTACACAACTGTTGCTTTCCTGAGTACTATATGAAATAAAAAACTCCAAAAAGAACAAGGGCTTGCGTCACACCTATTTCTCTATCAAATGTGTTCTTTGCACCCGTCTCACTAAATAAATATAAATCAATAAAATAATGTTTGTGCTCAAAAGGGATCACAGCAGAAGTTACACTAAGAAATTTAAGCTAGGTGCCCACAAACACCACAGGTTGGCATGTAACTAAAAGTCATTGTGTTTCTATACAGAGAATGGAGGAGGTGGAACATTCTAAGCTCCTGGCCAGAATTACAATTCTTATCTTTCAACTTCTTTCTTTGTCTGTAGCTGTTTTATGGAAAACATATCAATAGGAAAAAGGTTAAAAACAACAAGGAAGCTCTTTCGTGCTGAGGGATGATGTTGCTGATGTTGCTCAGACAGTACAGACACTAAAACAGTGTGAGCAGACAATTGTTCGTTCACATATTCAGCGGGTCTGTCCCCTCTGGTGTTGTGTTCAAGAAGTGACAAATGAGATTTCAGTTCACAGTGATTATTGTCAGGATCTCAGAACAAGTGCTTTATTGGGTATTATTACTCCCTTTGCAATAGCCAGTCTCTTTCGTCTGTTTGCTGTCATGTTCTATAAATATCAAAGAGGCTGCAGAGGCAGAAGTCACTGAATGCAGCCTGTGCTTCCAGGACACACAGAGCATCCCCATCCAGGATAGACAGCTAGGGACTGCAGATTGTCCTCTAAGAGGGGATTACAGGAGTCCTGGTGGAGCCATGGTTAAGCTCACAGCAACTACCCAAAATGGCTATTGTTGTTGCTAAGTGTTGTCAAGTTGGTTCTGACTCATAGCCATCCTGTCGATGGTTTCCGAGTACCGGCTAGTGGGTTTGAACAGTTGCCCTGGTGGTTAGCAGTCCAGCACTTATCCTACAGTGCCACATCAGAATTCCACCCAAAAGAGTAGTCGGTTCAAACCCACAAGTTGCTTGATGGGAGAAAAAAGAACCAAAAAAGTCCAGATTCAATGTCTATTTAATGTTACAGAGCTTTACAGTTAGGCTGTGTGTTTGCATGTATTAGGAGCTGGTACCAAGGGACAAGTAATTTGTTTGGGCTCTGGTTCGCTTCCTATGCTTTAGGTCCTGGAGGAGCACTAAACTGGCTCCTGAGACCGTTCCCTGCTGAAAGTTTTATTCTGAGTGCTCACAAAGAGGCAGACCTCCCATAGGGAGGTAGTAATTCTGCCTCTGTGTGTGGGGGTAAAATCATTTCAAGACCATCTAGAGGATTAAAAAAAGAAAAAGTAGTGTTTTTCCTTTTTGAAATAAATAAATAGTTTGAGACTTGTGAATTACTGCAATGACTGAACACGCCATGAGACAGCGTGTAAAATAACCACAGGTTCCAGAATTCCCGCGCAGAAAGCAGGAAACTCTTGTTTTCTAGATGACTGATTTATTCCTGCCCACAAGAACTTGTTGCAGTTCAAGCAAATGCTTAAGTTAATGAGGGTCATTTCCTTAATGTGGACATCAGATGCTTTGTCAGTGAAATATACCAAACTCCTCCTTTGGTTTAAGAGGGAACTTGTTGCAAACAGTGTACCACAAACTGCAGTCTGTCACAGATTTCTGTTTCTTAAGATGCTTGTATTCAGTGAAAAGGATCAATAAAGAAAATGTGGTCCTTCCTTCCTTATTCAGTGTAAAGTTTCTCATTGCATATGATACTATCCTGAGGGGCTGTGGGTTTTCCTGACACTTCTGACATTTCTAGCGAAAAACTTCCATTACAAACATATTTCAAACACTACTATAGGATTAATTAAAAGTGCTTTTTCCCAAGGAAGAAAGTAAAATAAATAAATACATAAATAAAACCCACTCATAGATATTACGTATAACTCAAACACTTCAATAGTAGAAGGAAAAAGAAAAACACAATCCACTTATAATCCTAAGAAATTACAATAAAGGTTCTTGTATACCATGACAAAGTCATTGCTTTAGCTAATTTTTCTTTTAGGAAAGAAAATAATCTCACTTATTCACAGTATTCGCTAGGATACCTTTAAATGGTTCTCACAGGGTCTACCTGTTACTTCCTTTAAAATCAGGGTTCAAGGTGGAAGGCAGGAGACTTACCTTAAAGGAATGGTACTGAGAGCCCCACTCTTCACCCTGCAGCACTTCAGCTAAAGTCACTGTTTCAGTGCAACTGGCCGGGGAAGAAGAAGCCAGCATCTGTGTAGTCCCACTGGAACTGGGGCTGCCTTTGGTGAGGCTGGCTGGCATGGCTCAGGCAGGATCCAGCCTCACGTCCCTGTCCCTAGGTTTGCAGAGTCCAGCTCATCTCTGGAGAGCCAGGCAGCTGGTTGTAGCTCTGCCTCCCAAGGCTTCTGACTGGAGGTGGGCTAAGAGAGGCACACAGAGCACTCCCTGAGCCCACCTTATTCAAGAGCTCTGCCTCACAAGCGGAGGATCCACGTTCTGCTTGCTCCTCTGCTGTTACAAAGCAGTAGCCAGCACAGTCCCACTCAGGGCCAGGGGGCCCTCACCCTGGGAGCCCTTGACTCCCCAGCAACAATCCTCATTGGTCCCAGGACAGGCAGGCCTCCCTTCAGTGTATTCCTGCCCAGCAGTGCTTTTCCTAACTTCCACACTGGACCCCACTCCTGCCCAAGCTTAAAAATGACTAGAATTTAGACTGATCAGGGGGGTCCATGAATTCAGGCCATGTTTGCACCTCTGAAATCAAACCATAATCTTACATTTGTTCCAGTAGAGGCTGTCATCTGACTTGGAATCGTTATCCATCTAGTTTACATGCACTGACTTGTTGTTGTTAAGTGTCCTGGAGTAGGTTACGATTCACAGCAACCCTGAAGAGTGTGTCCATTATTTCAGAAAACGTATGTAACTAGCAGATTTGGGTTCCACACATGTGGATCTACTCCAGGTTTTCACAGGGCATTTCTTAGAAAAGCTTTTTCTGTGTTTGGCAGCAAATCCCAACCCCTCCGTGATGTGGCTGTAAGTGTGTCTGATGAAGACCCCCTTCACCTAATGTGTGTTTGCTTCAGCTGCTGCCCAGGACCACTAGTGAGGGCTGGATGAAAGTAATGACACTTCTTTGGCATCACTAATAGGGTTGGGTAAGAATAACAATGGCTGTTCACTCGCATTTCACTAAAAAGCTCATAGAGCAAGTTTACATGTGCTTTGATTTAATTTCCAAAGTAATTCTATGGCATCATCTGGGAAGGTACCTTTATGTTTCAGGTCTCTGAGAGGTGAAATGACTTGCCCAACATCCCACAGCTGACAATGAATATGAGATGAACACCGATCCTGCAAAAATTCCTAGACAGTGGTGCTTCACTCAACACAGTGTGCACTCATTTCCAAGGAGCTCTGGTAGCATAGTGGTTACGAATCGGGCTGTGAACCTCAAGGTCAGCAGTTCGAAACTACCAGCTGTTCCGCAGGAGAAAGATGAGGCTTTCTGCTCCTGTAAAGATTTACAGCCTCAGAAATCCTGTACAGGGTGGCTGTGAGTCGGAACTGACTCCATGGCACATAACAATGGCAACAACATTGACATGAAGCTAGCATAGATAGGAATGACAGGCCAGGTGTGAAACAATAGGATCTAAGCTACTTGTTATATTGCAAGCAAGGATAATACCAAACTACTTACACTGAAAACACTTTGTGAGTCAAGTAAACATGCCTGCCATCTGTTTTTGGCATCTGGTATTAGAGGTGGCAGGTTTAATAAAAACATAAAAGACTGCAGCCCCCATGAGACCTCCTGCAAAAGCTTTGGCACCATCTATCCTACCTGAAGATAAGTGGAGTATGCTGCAGTTGCCTCAACAGAAGGGGCAGGGCAAACTGGAGGGAGTGGCCCAGAACCCTGGACAAGCCGTGGCTCATCCAGAAAGGGCAAACTGACAATCATCCAATAGTAAAATGAGCGAAGAATATTCCCACTGACAAATAAACACGAAAAGATGTTAAGCTGTATTAATATAGAAGAAAATGCCTGCCACTTAAAAACAATAAGAAACACACTTTTTTTTTTTTTCAACCTATTATTGTTGGTGGAGTCCTGGTATGACGCTGTGGGTTAATGCACCAGACTGCAAAGCCATTTGAACTGCAAGATAGGTGGTTCAAGCTCACCAGCTGTTCCTTGGAAACCCTATACAGGTTGCTATGGGTCGGAACCGACTCGATGGCACTTAACAACAACAACAACAACAATTATTGTTGTTAGGTACCTTCAAGTCAGCTTCAACTCATAGCAACCTAAGTTCAGTATAATGAAACGCTGAACCATCTTCACAATTGTTGTCACGTTTGAGCCCATGGCTGCAGCCACTGTGTCAATCCATCTTTTGGGGGGTTTTCCTCATTTTCACAGACACTCGATTTAAGAAGAATGATATCCTTCTTCAAGGACATGAGAGTGAGTCAAAATTATCCAACTTTATCCGCACTCTGGTTGTATTAAAATGACTGCCCACAGCCATGGCTGATGACAACACTGAGTGTGCACGTGAAATGATTCTGTTCAATAGACGAGTGACAGTGGATTCGGAGGCAAATCATTTGTAAATCAGCCATGACTCTGCCTATAAAATCATCCATGACAGACTTGGGTTTCTGGAAGTTTGCGTGAGATGAGTACCGAAACAACTCACGGAAGAGCGTAAACAGAAGTGTTTGGACATCTGAAAACAAAATGTGGACCGATACTCAAAGGAAGGTAAAAGTTTCTTTAAAAAAAATCATTACTGGTGACGAGACATGGATTCATCACTATGAGCCTGAGAGTAAACATCCTCAATTACTGACCAAGAAAAAGTTCAAAAGTCAACCATCAGCTGGAAAATTAGTTTTCTGGGATTCTCAAGGGCCAGTATTGGAACACTGTCAGGAAAGAGGTTCAACAATCAACAGTGCTCATTACAGTGAAGAGCTGAAGCCTAAACTTTGGATTAAGCACAGAGGACTTCTATCCAAGGGCATGTGATCTTGCAGGACAATGTACATCCACACACCTCTACCCACACTGTTGACACTGCAAAAACTTCATTTTGAGGTGTTAAAGCATCCTCCCTATAGTTCTAATCTTGCTACATCAGACTTTCACCTGTTTGGTCCCCTGAAAGCAGCCCTTTGAGGATGAAGTTTCTCCTCTGAAGAAGAAGTGAAGACAGCAGTGCATTCTTGGCTCCCAGCTAAGTCTAAAACATTTTTTAATAAGAGAAAATGAATGCTTGTTGACAGATGGACAAAGTGTATTGAAAAGCAGGGAGATTATGTAGAAAAATGATATATTTGTCTAATGATAAATGTGTCTAATGATAAATTAGATAAATTAGATAAATTGCTAAAAGTTGATTTAAATGAATTCTACAGCCTGAGTTCAGATAATTTTTGACTCACCCTCATATATAAAACCTTGTAGAATAAGTACTGAGCAGGGAACCATGAAGTTGACAGTTCAACCCATCAGCTGCTTCTTGGAAATACTACACAAGGCTGCTATGAATCAGAACCAACTCAACGGCACTTAACAACAACAATAATATATCACCACACCATCTGAAGATGATGCAAGTAGGCAAGTCTGCAAGAATTGCTAGCTACAGAAACTGAGACAAGGATTTTCCCAGAGAGGGAATGGAGAGAGGAATCTTCTCCTGGAGATGGTGCTCTGAATTCCGTGTTCTGGCCTCCTAAATTGTGTGAAAGGAGCCATGGTGGTTAAGTGTTGGGCCACTAACTGAGAGACAGAGAGAGAGTTCTGGTGTAGCTCTGTACGACAAGTACTGGACTGCAAGGTGGATTTGAATCACAAGGTTGGTAGTTCAGATTTACCAGCCACTCCACAGAAACCCTATATAGGGTTTCTAAGAGTCAGAGCCAACTTTTGATTGCACTTAACAATAACAACATACATATAAATATATTTGTTGTTGCTATTAAATGCCATGAATTGGTTCCAACTCATAGAGACCCTATATAGGGTTTCTGAGGAGTGGTTGATGGGTTTGAACCACCGACCTTGCAGTCAGCAGTCCAGTGCTTATTCTACTGTGCCATATCAGGACTCCTATATACATATATGTATATGTGTGCATGTGCAGCTCACATATGCACACATGTATGAATATATGTACATGAACATATACACAAGTATTCCCATACGCATACATATCTTTGTCTACATATATACATACACACACACTCACACACATATATGTTGTTGTTGTTAAGTGCCGTCAACAACCCGCAGCAAGCCTGTATAGGATTTCTGAGGAGCAGCTGAAGATCTTGAACCGCTGACCTTGCAGTTCAAAACGACTTTGCAGTCCAGCATATTAACCTACAGCACGGCACCAGGATTTATACACACATATATAGGAATCAACACTCATGGAAGCAGCAGTCAAGAAACCAAACAATGTATTGGATTAGGCAAATCTGCTGCACAAGACCTTTTTGAAGTGTTGAAAAGCAAGATGTCAGCTTGAGGACTAAGGTGCACCTGACCCAAGCCATGGTATTTTCAATAACCTCATATGCATGTGAAAGCTGGACAGTGAATAAGGAAGACTGTAGAAGAACTGATGCTTTTGAGTTATGGTGTTAGAGGAGAATATTGAAAGTGCCATGGGCTGCCAAAAGAACCATCAGATCTGTGTTGGAAGAAGTGCAGCCAGAGTGCTCCTTGGAGGCCAGGATGGCCAGACTTCGTCTCTCATACTTCAGACATATCGTCAAGAGGGACTAGTCACTGGAGAAGGATATTATGTTTAGTATGGTGGAGGGTCAGAGAAAAAAAGGAAGACCCCTCAATGAGATGGATTGGCAAAGTGGCAGCATCAATGCACTCAAACGTGGCAACAATAGAGAGGTTGGCCCATGATCTGGCAGTGTTTCGTTCTGCTGTGCGTAAGGTTGCTATGAGTCGGTACTGACTCGATGGCACCTAACAACAACATTATATGCATATACATATAGGCGTTCTGGTATGGCATCATAGAACAAGCACTGGACTGCTAAGCTTCTGGGACCGTCTAATGTAATCCCTTTCAGAACAGTTGGTAGTGGTAGCCAGGCATCATCTAGTTCTTCTGGTTGCAGGGTAACTCACTCTTAATTTGCCATCACGTCTGCAACTATTTTTTCCAACTGCTCTATAGTATTCCTCTGTATACATACATATGTATGTATACATACACACACACACACACCTGGTGTTGCACTGTGGATTAATG